TAATATTTAAATTTTTCTGCAGTACGTTTCCCAAAAGATCATTGATTTGCTTTTCCTGGTGACTGGGACTTGATCTGCCTTCGTATTTGTTTTTCTATGACTACCTAAAGAAAGGTATTTCTGAGAAGCAAAGTTGTATGCATGGAGAGTGGAATCCTAGGCAGATGGTGTGGCACCGCGACACAGGTGTCCCTCTAGCGGTCACTGGGAGAGGAGCCACAATTCACGGCTGTTAAGATGGGACCTGCTTTAAAGGAGGGAGTGCGCTGCGCAGGCGATGAGGTCTAGGAGCCTGGGACATTCACAGGGAAGCACAGGCGTGCGTTTTAAAAGAAACTCCAAGACTTAGCTCCTTCTTTTTATTCACAGGGGTGATGGGCGAATATGAGCCCAAGATAGAAGTGCAGTTCCCAGAAACGGTCCCGACTGCGAAAGGCGCCACGGTGAGGCTGGAATGCTTCGCCTTGGGGAAGTAAGTGCTGGGTCCTCCCTCTTCTCAGCTTTCTCTGTGTAAGTCTGCACACCCATCCCCTCACCACAGAGTGGGGACGTGGAATGGCCACAGGAGGGTTAGGCTGCCACCACGGACACGGCCAAAAGGAGGGGAGAACAAGCGATTCTGACAACGTGTTTTGTTCCATTCGTGTGACCTGGAATGCGCACACTGTCTAACCCAGGATGACAGGGAAACAGTGGCTTCCATTTGAGCTACAGTCAAGCTGACGATTTGGAAAAATACAGAGTTTTATTCCGGCCCCAGTTTACAGAGGATGCATCAATCGTTTCTTGAATGTCTTTATAAATCACCAGCCTCTTCTCTGTGCTTGGGCTAGAGATAGGTAAGACCTGAGATGCTCTGAGGGGATCGCTGTGTCCCGGAGCTGTCTGGAAATTATTCACGACTGTGTCGTTCAGTCAGTGTGGTATCCTCACCTAAGCCTCGTGGGGAACTGTTAACGTTCCCATGTCAGAGGGCACGGGGAAAACGAACAGCAGGGCAGTTAGGACTTGACCAGTGGCCCCACAGACAAGGCTTGGCATGCATGGTAAAAGCTGTCGTCTGAGATGAGAATGTTTAGATCCGCTATGCATTTGAAAGATGCTTGAGAACCTCTTCCCCCAGCCCACCCATCCGGCTCACCCACTGCTAGCTCCCCAAGCTCCAGGTATGAGCTAAGGCAAGACTAGCTTTTGTACAACCCTTGCATCATCGTGTGGTCTATATTCATATGAATTTTGTGTTTTGCAGCAGCTGCGGGAGAAAGATTTTCTCTGTTTTTATTTTCAGCTCTAATAGAAGGGTTCTTTTGGTTTCCATAGTTTCAAGTCATGACAGTATAAGCTATAGGAGAATCTTTACTTTGGCAGAGCACAATACAGGGATCATTTTGTAGGTCCTGAACACTGACCCATTACATAAATTGTGGCTTAGTGATAGACTGACCACTGTACAGACATGAAAGTCAAGTCTTCAAACAACAAGGAAGACACAGAAAATGCCCATGGTTATTGCTAAGACACTGAAAGCAGATTGCCAAATAGTATAATACAGTCCCATTTTTTATTGTAAAAAAGTGTGTGTGTGTGTGTGTGTGTGTGTGTGTGTGTGTGTGTGTGTGTGAAGAAACTCGATTTAGGGAAAAGGTGAAAGCAGGTAGCTGGACAGGTGAAGAATATATTTGGTGAGCTCTGCACGGTGACAGCTTGAAAAATCTCCCGTGGAGAGAGACGCAGAATTCACATTGTGCACACTTCAGAGGGGATATGAATTAAACTCTATTCACGCTACTCAAATGGCACTAGAATAAACACAAAAGACCCAAATTGGGCTCCTCCCGCCGACACAGACATGTTTGGGCGCAATCCAGCTGTTGAAACGCCTTCATCACCCACTTAAGAGCAGGAAGCCTTTATCTAAGGAGAGTCATTTGGAAACGCTCGTGTTAAGTGTATACCTCATCAAGTGGAAAGACACCCACAATGTCCTTTTGATAGAGCCCTTCTGAATTTTGAGTTAGTGTCTGTCTAATGAACTTAAATTCTTCTAAAGCAAATGTAGTACAGTTGATGGCTTTAATTTTCTAAATACCATCTCAGGTTTTCCAGGGAAGATTAGCAAAGCTTTACTCTAATTACTTCTCTGTGTGTGTTTTTGTGAAAAATAAATAAGTAAATAATGGTATCCCCTGCTAGGAAGCTGCAATCTGAAAAGCTGTGGTTAGCTCGCTCAGCCATTGATTTGCAGACTCAATGGTGCCCGCCTTGCAATTTAAGATGCATTCTTTCAGCTACGGCCGTGGGCTGACAAATGCCCTGAGAGCACATAAAGACCCCACAGACTGCTTCTTTTCATATCTCACTACTTTAAGTCAAGTTCCCCCAAACCACCCTCCAAATGGGCTGCTCTGTAAGTTGGTAAGGTTCTATAGAGAGTGCTCCGAGAGACAGGAAGTGGAAGCTACCAGTTGTAGCCTTATGGCCTGAGCCCTGAAACCAACACAGCATCCCTCCTGCCTTAGTCCAGTAGTCAGAGTAGTCAGAGAACCCACCCGGCTCAAGGGCGTGGCGCTGGACCTCCTTGTGACGGGAAGAATGTGAATTTGCAGTCACCTTTAGTCGGCCACAATTGTGCGTGAAGAGTTTTATTTTCATGTTTATGATTTAGGGGGGAAAAAGCAGATGTGTTAGAAAAAAGGACAACAATCATATAGAAATCTGTTTTTATTTCCATGATAGGATTGTCTAAGAGATAAATTACCTCATTTAAGGTTCAGAAAGGTTATTTAAGAAAAATGCTAATAACGATATTAGAGATGTGGACACGGATGACATCATAAAGTGAGGCGTGAACAAACCAAGTTTGGGGACCACTGTCTAGCGCAAGCTTATTTGTTTAGAACCAAGAAGGAGGGGGTTGGTAGGAACAGAGGCTCAGTGCATGATAGATTCCTCTGCTTTGATTCACTCTTTTTCTTCTCACCATCAGTCCGGTACCGACGATTATCTGGAGAAGAGCTGATGGAAAGCCAATAGCAAGGAAAGCCAGAAGACACAAGTCAAATTGAATTTTGGAAATCCCCAATTTTCAGCAAGAGGATGCTGGTTTATACGAATGTGTGGCTGAAAATTCAAGAGGGAAAAATGTAGCAAGGGGACAGTTGACTTTCTACGGTAAGTTTGTGATTCCAGTTGATCATGTGTGGTGCCCCAGGCCCTGGTCTTACAGTCGTAAGCTGGGAGGTTTGCATTCAAGGACCGCGCAGTCCAGGACTGTGCAAAACCCTTGGTTTGTTACTTACTCAGCATCCCCTGGGTGGTTCTACGTGTGGAGACTGAGGGGAGGGCAGGCTGTTGACAGGACAGAGAGGCAGAAATTCAGGCTGATACGTTTGGGGAGGAACATACTTGCAAAGGAACCATTTTTCCTCCTGCCATCGAGCTGCAGACCTGACCCAGGAAATGATTTGTTATTCCTGCTTCCGATTTATTTACTTTTTAAAAACTCTATGCTTTTCTTCATTCGTGTTTTGATTTGGGGCTCGTGTTAATCCTTTCTAATTGCGCCTGTTCGTAGTGATTTCACGTGGTACCATGAACATTTCAAAATGCACACTGTCCAAATTTAGTTCCTTCAGAATGGAGCATGACAAATCTCTCTCACCCCAAAGACAGCTTATGTGCAGCTGCTCCTATCCCAATCAAATCATCGGCATTGATCCAAACGCCATATAAATGTAAAACATCTAGCACGTGGCCATCAATTGAGCTGGTCTTGGAAACCCTGGGAGGGTATTGATTTGAGATCCAGAAAGGGATTTCACTGGATAAGCATCGACTTCTGCCAAATTGGAAACGCCTGCATCCCATCTGTCCGGGGCGTTGAAAATAAATATTACAGATTGGTCATTATTCAAGAATGGCTTAAATAAACAACAAGTATATTAAAATGACAAGAGTAGTTGTGTAGGGGCAAGTTGTAGCACAAGATTTAAATGTGCTTGTTTCTTGCAATAACTGATACCACAAAAGTCTGTTTATTTCACCCATGCTTCCAAAGCATTTTAGTTTTTAAGAAATGGCCAAAGAATTTTATTTGATAGTCTTATAAGGCCTTTTATAAGCATGATTGGAAATGGGGTGGGTTTTGAAATCCAGCTAAACTTCAGTGACACCCCCCAGCCACCCACATGTTCCTCGGCATTTTGGACTCACATACCCCTGATGCAGCCTGGGTGGCAGGAAAACACACATGGTCCTAGACCAGGGGTCAGCAAACTTTTGAAACAGAAGAGCTTCCAGGGGTCGGCAAACTGTGGCTCGCGAGCCACATGCGGTTCTTTGGGTACGTACATGTGGCTCTGAAGTAAAATTGAAAATGAAAATAAAACAAAACTATCATAGTTTCATATATAAAATATTTAAAGGATACTATTCACATAATGGTGATTATGTGAAAATATATTTATGGCTCTCGAATAATTTTTAAATTGTTGTGAGGGACAGGATTGGCTCTTCCAGGGGTCGGTGAACTTTTGAGATGGAACGTACCCAAAGAGCCGCATGTGGCTCGCGAGCCGCAGTTTGCCGACCCCTGTTTTATTGTAGAAAGCTCTTCACGATGACATGGGCAACAGTTATTTGAACACATCTATACTCCTCTTTTTTCAGCTACAATAAAGACTAACTCCACTGGGGGCCGAATGACAGACTCGACATTTCACTTTGTCCTTTCTTAAACTGTGGCACTTGGTACCTCATTTGATTGGTTGAAAAGCAAAAGGCACCATAGTTAATTGACTGGAGAAACATAAGACTGAAGGTTACGGATTTGTTCAGTGAGATGCAGTTATTGTGTTTAAGTGTTTAGGGCACTTTTCTCCCACCAGTATAATGATTATCTCTTATGTGTCAGGCAGGGACAACTTGAAGATATTCAGGTAAATGGCCAATTTGTGTTTCTTTTTTCTTTTTTATTAGTTGAACAGACTTTTTAATTCAGGGGTAGTTGTTCCTAAGTGTCATTTGAGTTGCTCAACTAATCTAATAAAGTCGTTTTCAGTTTTATGATTTTCTTTTAAGTGAAATGTCTGTCTTCAGTATGTTAAAAAGGTGCGAACGTTTCTGTAACTGGGACTTGGCACTTTCTGGTGGGGCACTTTTCCTGCACGAGAAGAGGAAGTACTGTTCTGAGAACCACCCTTCCCACTGGCTGCCAGCTTTGTGGGGTGAACTGTAGTTTTCCAGGGACCCTGAGTTGGAGATGAAGATCAGGATCTCACAGCGTTTCCCTTTGAAATGAAGTTATCTGCACCCATGCATGGGGAAAAGGCACAGTGAAAGGCGTCTGCTTTCTGAAGATAACTCAGCTTTTCCTCAGTTGTCAGCCACCCTTGGCAGTTAGAAGCTTTTCAGATGAGTTGACACCAAAGCGCTTGGCTGTGGTGTCTATGTGTGTTCTTTTGTTTTTCCTCAGCTCGCGTATCAGTGACACAGAAATTATCAAATTGTTTTCATTGTCACAGGGGAGCTTAATTATACAAAAGGGCATGGCTGTCATTTTTTTTCCCTCTCGTTTTTTGGTCTCCGTGGGGTCTCCCCAGTGCTGTGTTCCGAATAACATCCAGCTGCCTGGGTCTCCAACTGAAATGACTTATTATAATTAGAATCACTGAGCAGCTCACAAAAGGGGAGAAAGTGGCCCCAGTCTCTTAGCCATGAAGATGCTGCCTTTGTTGGCAAGAGAATTTCTTACGACATTAATATGTGCTGCGCTCAGGGGTTACAAACCACGGGTTTCAGCTTAGACACCCGCCTCTTTTTCGGTTCCGAGTTGTTTTATTCCATCCATCAGTCTTCACTTCAACAATCCCAGGTGTGCTAGCTTCTGTGCTGGCTTGGCAGTTACCCCCTTCTGCACTCAGACCGTTTAACCTTTCTCCAAAGGCCTGCGGGGCACAATTCCGTTCCTCCCGTCCTCCCGGTGTCAGAGTGATGGACGCCCCCATTCCTGGCGGGGGCGTCCCCGCCGCGGCTGTGTCCTGAGGTGAGCGTGTGCTGTTTGTGCCTGGGACGTGTGAAGAATGAAACTAGCTCAGACGAAAAGCACCATTCCCCTGCCCAGCTTCCCAGTTCCTTTTTGCCATGACTCATCCTTGGCCATGTGGCCTAGTTTTAATCTGTTCTTTCAGACTTTTCTTCAGCATAAAAAACTTCCTAAAAATAGATCTGTATATTTTCAGGGGTGAAAGACTATGGATCTTTTCTGCTAAAGGTAGACATTTTCCAAAGCGATTTAATGGAGTGTTAATTCATTCAACAAATATGTTTTTCAGCATCTACCATACGGCAGGCACTAGGGCAGCCAGACAAACCCCTGCCCTCAAGGAGATTGCATTTGCTAGAAGTCGACAGATAATACACAATTAAGCAAATAAGTGAACTAGAAAATTTCACATTGTGATATGAGCTATGAAGAAAATAATTAGGAAGGGCCGGCCGAGTGGCTCAGGTGGTTAAGAGCTCGCTCAAGAATGAGAGCTCTTTCCTGGCAGGTGCCTATTAAAAAAAAAAAAGAATGTGAGCTCTGAGCAACAGCGGTTCGATTCCCAGCCCGAGCTGAGCTGCCAAAAGGTGGCAGGATGGCTCAGCTAAAAAAAACAAAATAAAACAAAATGGAAATAACTAGGAAGACGTGATAGAAAATAACGAGGAACAGGGAAAAAGTGTCATCAGATAAGATAGTCAGGGAAGACTTATCTAGACGTTGCCTCTGAGCTAAAAAAGAGCCAGCCTTTCAAGGGGAAGTCTGTTTACAGGCAGGAGGTAAGGAGGTGCAAAGGCCCTGAGACAGGAAACGGTTTGATGTGTTTGAGATGCGTCAGGGAACCCAGTGCGACTAAATCATAGTGAGAAAGGGCAAACGTTTTGAAACACAGGAAGGTGACAGGTAATGCAGCACTTGTAAGCTAGGCACAGACTTTGGGTTGTATTCCGAGTGTGGTGGGAAACCACAGGGGGATGTTAAACAAGGGAATGGCTTAATCTGCTTCACGCTTCCGAAGCACCTCTCTGGTTGCTTTGTGATGAATAGATTATAAGGAACCAAGAGCAAAAGGAAGACAACCAGTCAGGAAGCCACCTAAGTGAGAGGGGTTGGTGGCTAGGACTCCAGGAAGGAGAAGAATTGGACAGACTTGAAATGTAGGTTCGCGTTACAGCCAATCAGGTGCTCTCCTGTCATTCCTGCAGTTACCCAGTCTATAGACCAGGAAGCTGACTCCCAAAGAGATCACACAGCAGTTTCAGTTTGCACAGTAAGAAGCAGAGCTGAGTTCCCTGTGCTGGGCTGCTCGCTCGGGCTCGAGGCTCTGCGACTTCTGCGTGCCTTAGGATAATCGGGACGTTTTATTACAACGCAGAACACTGGGCCCGTGGCCAGTGTACACAGACGAAGTAGAATGAGAGTGCTCAAGTAATTATCTCTGAAGAAAGGAAAGGGAAGTATAAAACGGGTCTGATTCACTTCATAATTACTCATCTTTCCACTTCATTGTGTCTGTATGGTCACTTCTTTTTTGCACAAATAGACCATGAGAATTATAGCCATCGTTTAGAAGAATGAAGTGTGAACTAGGAGAGCCTGATCCTTAATGCCTTTTGTGCCGTTTTTCCTCTATAACAGACGTTAAGTCAGCAAAACCATCTTTACCATTAGGAAACAGAATATAATATCTGAGCAGTAAACAAGACTATATATGTCACTGAATCCCTTACTGTTTGAGCTGGAAGGAATGACTGGGACCAACCGTTTGACTTGTGTAAGTTAAGAAAGTAAGGCCGAGAGTCGTAAAACAACTGACCCCGGGCCATACGAGTGAGAATCTGAGCCATGACAAGAACTGCAGTGGCTGTCATACTCTACCATATGTTGGTTACTTGTCTTGCCAGTCACACATTTTAATAAAATACGGAAGGGAAAAAAAGAAGCCCATCAGTCATCCAGATGAACACTTGACTTTTCACTTCCTATTTTCTAAGACGTTCACCTGATGACTTTCAGTCTCCTGTCCCAATGCCACCTGTGGCTGTATGTCTGGACCGTGAGCTTTGGTCCTTTGGCTCTAAGGGCAGAACTGTAGGCTCGATGACACTGCAAATGGCGTTTGAGGTCA